TCATCAGTGGCAGTGTGCATGCACGACTCCTACACCCCGCAGGATTCGAACCCAGGACCTTCGGCATTGTGCGCGAACGACCTAACCTTTAGACCACTGAGCCGGTGTTAATGTCTAACTTGATCAAATTCAGGGAGTTGCACAACCTCATACCCTGTATACATCCTAACAGGTTTGAACTTCACTGGGCACGACTTCCCACTAGAATTCGGAGAAGATTCCTCACCAAGCTAGTTACTAGTGAGCACATGTAATTGCATTGCGAAGAATGTTGAGTTTTGTATTTGGAATCATGAATTAATTGATCAATGTTAGAGCCATTGATTAGAAAGTTGTAAGTACTGAATGACCGGTTTCGTCCTAGTCTACGACTGATCATCAGTAGTGCGCATCGATGCTGATGACATAGTTCTATTCGGTGAAAACGCTGACAAAATGTAGAGTCTTTTGACTACCCACCTAAGCAATAATGCAAGCATGTTCGGGATGCGGTTCTCACCGTCCAAATGCGAAATGTTGCTTCAGCATTGGGTTTCATCGGTATCTGAACTAATGATAGGGAGTGAAGTAGTTGAACGTGTAGACCACTTCACGTATCTGGGGAGTCTCATCAGTGCTGATGAAATCTCAAAGTGAACACAGAAGGCTCAATTGGCTTTCGCTAACCTGCGTTACTTATGGCGTAGGCGAGATATCCGTTTTCTGACTAAAGAGCGAGTGTATAGCGCAGCAGTTCGCCACGTCCTACTTTATAGCTGAGAAGCATGGCCAGAAGAGTAGAAGACATTCGTAGGTTATTAGTATTCGACTGTAGGTGTATTCGAAGCACTGCGGTTGTATTGTGGGACAGTCGAGTAAGCGATGCTGTCGTTAGGAAACGAGTACTAGGTATGGATGGCAAATCAATAGATGAAGTATTGAAACTTCATTAGTTGAGGTGGTTCAGACATGTGTTACGTATTCCCAACAAGCGACTGCCACGTCAAGCTATCTTTTGCGGTTAAATAACCCGATTAAAGGTGGGAAATAGAAAACTATGTTTATCAATAGCAAAACAGATAATCAAAACGGGGCATAGGATTGATATTGACACAGAGTTGTATAGAAATGTTCAAAGGCGAATTTGTAAGGTTACAGAAGCCTTGGTTATTCGTGAATTAAAACCAACCTTATGAGTAAGTACAGAAACAATTTGTTCTAACTTGGTAATTTACCCTGGTAATCTTTAAGCCATTTTATAACCTGAGGGTAATATGGAAATTTCCCATATGCTATTTTCTATCTCTCACTTATTGTTACGATTATCAATGCTTTTTCATTTGAACTTTTATTTAAGAGATCTTATATTATTGCTGAAGTCATGAATCAATCATCGTTTGACCACGATTAGAAACTTGGAAGCACTGAACGATGGCCGTTTCGTCCTGGTATAGGACTCATCAAAGGCAGTGCGCGCATCCACGACTCCTGCTACTAGTAGGATCTGAATCCGCGACTTTCAATCTTCTGCACAAACATCTAACCTCTGGACCACTTGGCCGGCATCCCGATCGATCTAGGGATTTCGCGCAACCTCACTACTCATGTGTATTTGGTAAATACTGCCTACACCCAACAGGGTTGAACTCACTAGAAATCCGAGAATTTCCTCACGAAGCTAGTCAACTAGTGAGCACACATTGTACGATTCTTCGTCTAATGTGACCTTTGATTAATTTTCATATATAAAATACGTTGACAAGTCTATATGTGTAATGACTAGATTGTTCAAAATATGTTGTATAGCGCAAATACATCACCTATTTTCAGAACAACTACATCTTTCTCAGTGTTCAAAATTTCAGAATTAATCTCACGATACGCACTGTTCAATGTTCAACGACATCATTGATCATTGATCGATCACTTGACCACATGACACGATATCATCATCACATAATCCTACACACACAAGCACACGTACACACACACACATAAGAAAAACAAACTTACCGATGTGGACAATCTAAGCAAATTTTTTGATCAGCAAATTTACCACCTAATATTAATTCAATAATTTTAGGCAATTTGCATAATTCCAAAGCTTCATCTAAATCATTACCGAGTATTTGAAAGAATTCCAATGCATCGTGTTGTTCTCGGACATGGACAGCTTCTGCACGAAATCTATTTTGTTGTTGTGGAGAGAAAACGTAAAGGAAAAAGTAGAAAATACACATATAGATGATGTGTGTCAAAATATCAAATATCCTAAAGAAATTATTTTGTAAGTCTAATTCTATTGGTCGATCCCTATTGATCAATATTTAAGGTCGTCTTAAACTATCAAGTTCACATAATTTTAAATGTCGTTTCTTATTGGTTAGTATTCACGGTCGACCTAACTGTATAAATATGCATTGTCTATAAAGTTTTGTGCACCTTTCCTTCTTTTGTACTTAACCTCATATTTTCTGGGTGCTTACAGAATACACTTTCTACGCCATATCAAGACTTTTTGATACTGTTAGTGGGGGCTTGTGACGCTCGGATTAGAGTAGCCTATCGTGTCAATGGATCATTTGTCTTAGCTCTCGTTTACCGACTAAGGTGAACTCGTAATAGCATTCAAGCATATCAGTTGACGAGCATAACAAGGTGTGTATACAAACAATGAATTAATATTGAAATGTAACTTGTTTACTTATTCGGTTTGTTTATTATTGAACGCTACTCTTTTAATCAACATAACGACAGCCAAGTAGTGTATAACGCCTAAATTGAGGTCTGAGGGTGATGTTTGTACTTGAATGCGATGTGAGTAGGGTGATTTCCAAAAATAACCAGTATCTCCAGGGATACTAATCTCTTACAATGAAAGAGGTTAAAAACAATCAAGTTTAAAACGACGCAATCGATATTTTTTAAAGTGGTTAGGCATACATAACACTTGTCCTAACCACCTCGACTGATGAAGTTTCAATACTTGATCTATTGATCTGCCATCCTTACACAGTAATCGTTTCCTAACAACTGCGTTGATTAAACGGTTGTCCCAGGATACACGAGCAATGCTTCGGATACACTCATGATCGAAGACTAGTAACCTACGAAAGTCCTCTACCCTTAACGGCCATGTTTTGCATCCGTATAGTAGGATGGAGCGAACTACCGCACAGTACACTCGTCCTTTGGTTAACAAGCAGATATCTCGCCTACACCATAGTTGACGCAGGTTGGCAAAAGCCAATCGAGCCAATCAGTCGAAATAATTCGGCAATAAATGCCCAATTCCACATATAAGAACTACAAGAATAAACAAGGCGAAAAAGTAACACAACAATCTTACTTGAAATGACGCCAAAATTCCACTGGTGCATAATATTTCACACGACTATAAGCTAAATGTCCAAATATAGTTTGCATATGATACAATACATTAAGATGATGAATTTTCTCTTTACTTAAAGGTTTCAATTCTGCTTTTTCACATGTTTTAGTGTTAGTATTGTTGTTCGATTCATTATTCTGTTTAGAATTTAAAGAGACAAAAAAAACCATGTTTCAAAAATCCGAGACAAATAGGTATCACTTCTACCGGTCCAGTGGTCGAGAGGTTAGGCGTTCGAATCCTGCAAGTAGCAGGAGTCATGAATGCTCACTACCTTTAATGAGTCCCATACCAGGACGAAACAGCCTTCTAGTGCTTCCAGGTTCCTAATAGTGGTCTAACATTGATCGATTCATGATTTCAAACAAGTAACTCAACAATCTCCACAACCTCATAATGCAAATTAACTTATTCACTAGTGACTAGCTGCGTAAGGAATAGTCTTCGAGTTCTAGTGAGAACTCGTGACCAGTGTAGTTCTACTCCGTTCGGATGTGAAGCACTGCTTACCAAAGACAGTGTATCAGGTTGCGCAAGACAATGAATTGATCGAACATCGATATTAACACCGTTAGGTACCGGCTCAGTGGTCCAGACATTATGTATATTTCTCAATTGTATAGTAGTTAGTAGACTGCATCACCTGACGTTTCTCCACTGCCATGTGCATATGACCACTGAGTGAGTGTTGGGGAGGTTAGATCCCCAGAACTCACTTAAAAAGCGTCCTAATTTTCTAATTTATTCTGAAATATTCAATTTCTATGTCTTCGTGTCAGAGACACTTACTTGAACTTCAGCCTACATTTCCCACTCGGAAAATCCTTGACTCTCATTGGTTGATGGATTATTTCAGTACGTTATTTTGTGGCTCCCTGTGTCCTTGTATAAATAAGCTTGAGTTGTGTGCTTAGAAAGCTCGTATTTTCTGGGTGCTTGTAAAATACATTCTTTATACGCCTTATCAAGACTTAATGCTCTGGTTAGCGAGGCCCTAGGATAATCGGATTAGAATAGCCTATTATGTCACTCGATCGTTAATCTATCTTAGTTCCGTTTACTGAGTAAACTGAATGCGTAATAGCATTCAAGCAAAACAATTGACGAGCATATCAGAAAGGTTCAAAGAATGGACCACCCATAAGAGAGAAACACAACCGGTTTCAGTCTAAGCACTCAGGCAGTAGTAGTGTGGTGCGAGCTACTTATAAGTAGTATATGACGTGAGTGTCAACGTAATGTCTGGCAGCAGAAGATGGGGGGAAGATCAAGAAAGGAAGAGTGGGGGGGAACACAATGGAATTTGTATGAAACGCATGAATAGTGACAATGGATTGATGTTTGGCAATAGGAACAGTCCAGTTCGATAGGACGAACTGTTACTTAGCAAATTAACGATTTACGATATGGTTTTCCGATTTTACCGAGTAACTCTGTAATTTTCGTTAAATACAATTCGGTTGCCCCACTTGTGTTCTCATTCACTACAATAGTACTACAATTCAAAGCGAATTTCAACTCCCTATTCAAACCAATCTTGGACAATTATTGATCAACAGACAATAACAATGATCACAAACACCAAGTAAAAGTAAACACAATGAAAAAAAACTGACCTAATTCAACTTACCAGTGTCTGCTCACAAACATTATCAATGATATGATTATCATGAGAGTTTGTTTCTGTTTTCAGTGCACTGAAAGTATTCATCTGTTTATCCACTACTCCTCCAACATTACTATAATTAGCTAAGACAATTTCTGGATTAGCACTTAGTACACAATCACGTATTGGTTCCAATGTAAACAATTGTTGTATAATTGAATTCATATAACATGTAGCTCCACCATTTTTTAAACCAACAAAATGTGCCGCTTGATTAACATCACTGTCATAATCATGATGAATATTATTATTGTTATTACTATTATTATGATTATCATAGTCAACATTATGATGAATCATCCATTGATGTTTATTATTATTATGACCAATAGTAGAATTCGGTAATATGAATGAAGACGGTGTGGTTGTTGTTATTGCATTGTTTGTCGATAACACTGAATTGGTGATATGATTATAACCGAAATGATAATTCCAATTGAAATTTAAAGGTCTTGCATTAGCTATAATGATTGTTTGAAAAAATAGAATATACACATGAAGATTTCAATAAATTTATTACAAGAGGATATTCATAGGTTATTAAGTATTATGCGTACATCATGTAGGTATTTGATTAAAGATGTGTCTACAAAGTGTAAATACATATCCAATGATACTAAAGAGGATGCACCTGTTGAGAAAACTAGTTAACTTACATTTATACGGAATAGATAGAAAATGGTTAAGAGGGAAAGTTCCATTGACTGAATGGCTAATATTATGTACTTTCTTACTACTTATTGTGATTTATTATGCTGGTTAGCATTGATTTAAATGGTATGACAATATGTAGAGTCTTATCAGTGCTGATGACCTAGGGAGTGATGAAATCTCAGCATGGATACAGAAGGCTCGATTGAGTTTCGCCAATTTGCGTCAATTATGGTGTAGGCGAGATTGTCCGTCAGCTAACCAAAGGACGAGTGTACTGCATAGCAGCAGTACTTTACGGCTGAGAAACATGGCCAGTAAGAGCAGAAGATATCTGTAGGTTGCTGGTTTCCGATCATAGGTGTCTTCAAGGTATTGTTAGAATATCCTGGGATTACTGAGTAAGTAATGCTGCCATTAGGAAACGAGTACTAGGTAAGGATGGCAGATCAATAGATGAACTAATGAAACTTCATCAGTTGAGATGGTTGGGACATGTGTTACGAATGCCTAACCACCAAATACTTCAACGAGCTATGTTTTGTGGTGTAGGAATAGGTTGGAAGAAAGGTAGTGACGGCCAAACCAAAACATGACACAAATCCATGAAGTTACTGACAAGTGGATTGAGTCACGTTGGTAGATGTACGCTGCCTGTTTAGGATCCGCAAGACGATAGTAACCCATGGTTAGAAACTTTAAATTAAATGGCTGAAAATCGTTTGCAATGACGCAGGTGCAACCATTCTTTGTGTTTTTTTCAAAGCCTAACCTTCGGAGTTCCTTATCACCTCTACCTTTCTCTTTTCAAATTTATTTCACTCAATTATACTTCTCGGATCGTATCTTCACACCCCAATCTTCCCCATTACCGCTAATAATTCTACTACACCAACCACTGTGGGATTTGAAGTGGAAATCGCATCTCTGTGCTAATGTGGTATGTAAACTTGAAATGGAGTACATATGCACGAAGTTGTACGTTGTAACTGACTGACTTTGATGGAATCACTATATATTAGTGAAAGTTATTTTCAGCTTTTGAATCGATTTTTTTTCTGCTTAGTGCTTTCTTAGTGAGTTGGTTCTTTCATGAGATGGGGTGGCCAATCCCATACCCAACCCTCCCCCTTTATCCGGGCTTGGGACCGGCAGTAGCCAGCTTCAGAGGGGTTCCAGACGGAGTAGGTTGGAGAACACTGGTCGGCGGCCTAGGCTCCATTGGACGTGACAAGCGGGAGTAAGTAAGTAAGTATATTCAGCTTTTAAACATTAGATAATAAATTCATTGGCAGTGTCTAGTTGCATCTGTATCATTGATACTTAAAATTGAAACTGATCAATCTCATTTGGTAAATTATATGCATTCTTTGCGAGTTGCTTTGATACTGATATCAGATTCCCAGCATTATGAACAGCAATGGATGTTTCAAAATCGGATGAACTGTGCTTTCTGGATTCTACTGTTTAGCCACTCTATCCATCCCCCTAACTCACAATACTTATGACCAAGTGAAAATATTGTGGCAATGTATACTGAAAGCACATACTTAAAAACGAGACCGATGAAGTGCAGTCTTAACTACCAATCGGAAATATTCAAACTACCAATGCAAATGAACTAAATTACACCTTATTGTACAAGTCAGTGGTTAATCTGGCCTCAACAGATAACTCAGTAGATAACACAATAGCGTTTGAACTACATAGCATTGGGTTCGAGTCCTGGATGAGGCAGTTACATCCAACAACAAACAAGTCTCCAAAAAAAAGACGAAACGCGAGTCCTAAATTCCACTGCTAGCCATCTTCAGCTAATATATTTATACATTTCATAAATTATAATCACTAAATACAAAAAACTTACCGGAAAAAATCAAATCATACAACATAGTTGATAACAATTGACTAATTAATGCATTAGAAATACTTATCGATAAAAGAAAATCAAAAGTACACATCATTAATTTTCTGGAACATGATAAATTTGAAAATGTCGGTAGTGTTGAACAAAGATTAGAATTAGCAATGTCATTGTTATTGTTGTCACGATCATAATTCAACGTCTTAGGTTGATGATTTGTTTGTGAATAGATTGTAGATTTGCGTATTTCATTATATTGCTTTGAAGCAGGAAATAATAGTAATTCAAGTATATCCTATAATTAAGAGATATTTCAAAACATAATAATAACTGTCAGGAGAAGTGTACTACTTATAAAAAAATTAAGTAGTTGGAAATAATTAGTACAATTTTTACACAGTGGGATAGGTCAACAAACCAAAGTTTGTCCTAAATAACCGTATATATACATTCGGAAGGATTGGATTCAGATTAATCTTATAACCTGTTTTAAAATAGATACTCTTTTTGGTATTTCTATGGAACGATCATTGATTTGAAAATTCTGACGTACATAATTCATAATTATGATACAACACTATTTACAAGCGATCAGTCTTCCCCTGACTTTCATTCCTGGCTCATTCCATTCATAAGTGGTAGCAGAGTGTACATTGGCATGGGATTCGTGAATTTCCTCACTATACACTATACTCAATATTATTATTTCAGTCAATTATTTGTTATCTATCTGTTAGTTGGTTTCGATGGTTATTCTAGCTATCGTGACATGTGAGTCACTTTGTTCCTCCGAACAAAAGATTGCAACTTTCAACATAATCGTTTAACTACCATAATAGAGTAACTTCTTCCCAGTTCAAGAACTAAACTTTCAACAAATGAACCAGGTCTGAATCATGCTATAGAAATTCACATACATTTGAGTATGTTCTTATTTGATTTGGTTAATGCCTCTCCTTAACTTATTAAACAGACTGAGTTATTCGTGTAGCAACGATTTATCTGCTTACACAATTGCGCTTTTATTTTATTAGTCGCGTTTGTTATGACCAGGATAGAGTAGGTTGGCGGATACTATGGCCGGGGCCTATGCTCCATTGGGGGTTAATAGGCGTAGTAAGTGAGTAAGCGTTTGTATGAGCAGGGCATGATTGAGCACTGCTCATGAATACACTAGCTCGCTCACGGGCTTACGCGATCACTCGCTCGCCTGCGCTTCGGAGCTCTCCTTTCATTTTCGCTTCATGTGCCTGTGGTTTTGTGATCGGTGTGTGATGCGATAATAAGCGTAATCAATGCTTCGTATTCATCTTTCTGACTTATACACCGTTAGATGTTATCTAGTAACAGTTGTCCGGACGAGCAGTATACGAAGTCAAAGAATTATTATTGAATACTAACTACCAGATACCGACTGCGATAAACAGATATTGTGGCCTCCGAAGCAATGCTCGTGTATCCTGGGACGACCGAGTGAGGAATCCTATCGTTAGGAAACAAGTTCTAGGTAGGAACGGCAAATCAATAGATGAAGTGGTGAAACTTCATCAGTTGAGGTGGTTGGGACATGTTTTATGTATGGCTAACCATTGACTGCCTCGACGAGCTATGTTTTATGGTGTAGGTTTAGGCTGAAAGAAAGTTAGGGGCGGTAAGATGAAAACATGGCAGAAATTCATGAAGTCATTGACAAATGAACTGAGTCATGTTGGTAGATGTAGGCTATCTGGTTGGGGTTCGCGAGACACTAGTAACCCATGGTTGGAAACTTTGAACGACATGGCTCAGGTGCATCCACTGTTTGTGTTCTCTCAAATTCTAACCTTCTGAATTCCTCATCATCTCTATCTTTCTCCTTCTTAATTTATCTCACTGGATTTTACTTCTGGAATCATATCTTTGCTCCCTAATCTTCTCCATTACTGCTAATACTTTTAATATCGCTATCACTCTTGGATTTGAACTGACAGTTGCGTCTCTGTGCTGATGTGGTATGGCAACCTGAACTGATGTACTTATGTACGAAGTTCTGCGTTGTATCTGTCTGTCTAATTGTCTGTTATAACATGTACTTGATACCATTGC